ACGCTCCAAAATTGTTTACAAAAGAGGTCCTAATTTATACAGTATTCATAGAAACGATAAGGACAAGCTTAAGAAGAAAGAAACAGCGGGCGTGTATAAGATTCCCTTTGAAAACCAACAGCTAGGAATTATGAAGGACTATATTGGAGTCACTAGACGAAATTTGGCTATTAGGCTTAAAGAACACAAATATGACATTAGTAAAGGGCATCGTACCACGGTTTTGTCAAGTATGGCACAAGCGGAAGCTTCAGTAGTTAAATGGAATGAAGCGTCTATTCTCAAGACGTTGCGGTCCCATCGTTGGCTTTGCAACATGAAAAAATTGAAATTTATAAGAGTAAATTAAGGGGCGGTTGTATCAATGCAAGGGATGCTGATGGTTTAGCTTCGGCATGGAAGTTCTTTGTAAAAGAAAAGTTAAAACACACAAATTCTTAGTTCATATCTGCCTTTATAATGTGATGCTTTTTGATATATATATTTTTATGAATTTAATCATTTTTGTGCATTTAATCTTTTAGGTTTATTTTTGTTTTTAGTTTTATACCGCCTTATTTTATTATTTATTATTTATATTAATATGGCTTCAAACTATTTATTATAGTTATTTTGTATAGTGATTGGTTATTTTATTTTATGTTTTAATTTGGAATTTGTAATGTTCGAAAGTTCCGTTTTAACGCAATTTTCAAAGGTGTTCGATAACTTGTCACCTGATGATGGCCTATTCCATTAGGCTGAAAACGTTTGTGTATTAATAAATATTTCTCAGCGATATAAGGTGTTGAATGTTTTATTAAATATTTAAAAAAAGCTGAGTTTGATATTCAATTTGTTACAATTTTTATCGACAATTCTAAAACTTGCTTTGACTCATCAAGAATGAGGAGTTAGTTTCTCCTAAAACTATAGTTCGAGTGTAGATGTTCCACTCGACTATCCACAAAACCGCCCGACTTATCTCTTGACTAAGGCATAACGTGACCTACCATTATCCTATTGTATGTCGATTTTTTATAAAAGCGTAAAGGTCTTCTTTTTATTTGCTTCAGCCTTGCTCAAGACTTTACATACCGTTCCCATTTTGACGCCCTTGTCCAGTGTAGAACGGTTTAATAATCATCCTCCCAGTGCTCCAAGTATGTGTCTCCAAAAACTATTTGACTCTCTATCTCAGTTATCTATGGACGTCAGGTAATGTGACTAGTTTTTATGTGATTTCTCTCTCAAGATAGAATTAGAGGTTTAAGATTTGATATTCTCGTATACTGTAATTGGATTGTTGAACTTATCATGTATAGTTATCATTACATGTATTCACTTTAAATCATAATTTCGTAAAATAAATATAAAGATGTTTTAACGATACATTTTCCTGTGTTGGCTGATGATTTGATGTGTTTTCTAAGTGTTGTTAATTTTCTTCTAAGGCGCCCGGGGCACGATACTATATTGGCACCCTCTTCCCCTCTAGAAAAAAACGTTGTTTTCTTGGAAACCATTTGGCGCCCTCTGCGAGTGGCGCCCGGGGCAAACTGCCCCATCCTAGCTACGCCTCTGTTCAGAGCTTTTCTTCTTCGTTTGTGGACGATAGGAAATTCTGAAGTTCCTCAAGGTCAGGCAGTTTCAAAGGATTAACTTAACGTGTATAGCCGCCTTTATAAGTAATCCGTTTTAGGACCAGGTGTTCACAGAAATTTCCAAAATTTACAACTTTTCGGTCACTCTCGTTGAACTGGAAAAATTTGTCTTTATTACATGTAATATTACCAACAAATCAATCCCCCCTGTTCTCGGCTGGAAATTGGTTCGGTTAAGCTTTTGTTTAAGTAATATTCCGGCTCTTTCGTCAGGGTTTTGTTTATGTCCCCAATTGCCTAATCGCTTAATTATTTAACTACCTCTTAAGTAGAAATAAGTCGAAACCGGTTACTTTGTACTCGAATATTTGTAGTCTTGGGAAAAAAGTGAAAAGACAAATTTTTATGACAAACGGATACATAAATCGTAAATTTAAGGAAAATAAATTGTAGAGCTTTTTCTGTACTTCGTGCATCTCCCCCATTCATTAAATTTAGTTGTAAATGACGCTGCCAAATTAACAGTTAATTTTTTAACATTGTACAAGAATTTTACACGTTTTTTTCTGCATCCTCTTATAGATGGGACATACAAAATCGTAATATCACTGGTTTAACATTGAAATCCGTAAGTAATATAAGATGGGAGAGCGGAATAAAAATATCAAATATTTTAATGGATTTTTTAAAACTCCCGTCAACTATACAAAACTATCGTAAAAACGTACCAGTAAATTTCTATCGGTTGGGTTAAGTTATAAATCGAGCGAGGGCGGCTAACAGCCCAGAACCGGTCCCGGATAGAATCATTGGAAGCGTTATACGTGTGTAGCTTCCACTGGCTAAACCGCGAGGTTGGTGCTATGTAAAGCGCATGCGCGAATGCGTATAATCTGGCTATTTGGAAGCTGACCCAGTTTCGACAATGCAGCGCTTCCATTCCGCCACTGATATTCGAATATACAATAGCGATCTTATCGTTATTTTCACGTGTTGTATTAAAATTTGTAATAACATACGTAATGAGGTTATAATAAAATATTAAATTTTAATTGATCCGAAATGCGTTAAAATATGAAAATAATCGCGCAATATGTATTTATTTTTTAGAAGATACAGGAGAAGTGGCGCTTCCACCGCTTCCAAGGACGGCACGCTACTGGACATTACCAACAAAAACTCTTTAGGGGATCTCGGGTAAACCTCCTGTAGATATCGAAATTGAATACCTCAGGAACGGATGGAAATTATCACACGAAAAAGATTTCACAGTATATTGGAAACAGAAAAGTATAAGAAGGATGACTATGAACTACATGTCCCCTTTTTCCTACATTCCAAATCCTAGAAACAAATAATGCTTTTCGGAAGTTCCCATACACAACGAAAACATCAGGGTCTTCACGAATGGGTCTAACAAGCAAGATGGATTAGAACAGGGGTCGGCAACCTGCGGCTCTTTGGATGTGAAGCTGCGGCTCTTTAGTTCCATACGCAAATATTATTTATTTTATCAAAAAAAAACATTTAAAAAACGTTCTGAATAGATTAACGAGGATTAGGCACTGATTCTATCTCTCAGCCGCTTGTACTAACTTTTCACCGCACCCCTCCCCCGTGACATGCCTCGTCACTGTTGTCAGTCCGTCCGAAGCTCTCGAATGACGCCGTAGTCGGATGTTTCTATTATCCAATTTGTTGTGAAAAACACTACTTATATATGAATAAATAGATTAGTTTTTTTTATCAAAAAACTTTACAGTAGAGCGTCGTTTATCCGAAAGCTGGTTATCCGAAACGTCCGTTATCCGAAAGAATGCCAGTTGGCAAATTTAAATTTTCACAAGTGCTGTGGCGCTGTAATCTTCGGCTATGTCTTGGGCTACTCAAATATTTTACGTTTTTGATACTAAATTAACATCTGAAGTATAATTTTTTATTGTTTTTATATTTTTCAATAAATTTATTTTGTTTGTACATAGTCTTCGCTAGGCTTAACATCGACGAAAATTCAACGCGAAGCGACACGCAACGGAGAGAAATTTTAACATGGGATAAATTAATATATTTTTTCGTACATGATTCGTTATCCGAAAAATAAATTATCCGAACCACCCCAGTCCCCAATTGATTCGGATAAACGACGCTCTACTGTATTTATGCGAGTACTATTTATTGTTGGCAAGAAAAAATTGTGTGGCTCTTTAAAAACTGAAATTTTGTAAATTGTAATTTTGGCTCTTCCGACTCAAAAGGTTGCCGACACCTGGATTAGAAGGTTGGAGTTAGTTATGTGATGTATCTTGAAAATAAAGAAATTCAAGCTAAAATTATCAAACTAGATAATAGCTGTAGGCAGAAATCATTGCCGTTGCTAATGCAAAGACCGCGAAGTAATTTTTCTTGCAATAACATCAACATATTCTCGGACAGTCAAGCGGCCATTTTAACTACATTGAACAAAGAGACTCACCCTATCACAAATGAAATAAATACATATATATACGAAATTCTATTAATGGATACTCACTCAACTGGATAAGAGGCCATACTGGGGAAAGCGGTAAAGAGAGAGCTGACGAAACTGGCTAAAATTGCTGCATTAAACAAAGATCTTCCTATAACATACAAAAAGTAACTGATCAAAACTGGATATGCTGCACTGAAAAACCACACATTGACCGAATGGCAAACACAATGAGAATCCGCACACGACTTTGTCTCCCAGAGTCGAGAATGTTAAAAACACAAAATGGTTTAAACCAGATTGCCACCTGTCGCAATTCCTTACTGACCACGGAGGTTTTCAGAAATACCTTCACCGTTTCCAAATATCTAGTAGCGATAAATGGTAAAACTGACGGCAGTGAACATCACCTTTTAGAATGCCCTATAGTAGAACAAGGTCGAAAATTAAAATTTTACTCCAAAGAGATAACCTGGCCTTGTGATAGAAAATCATTAACTGAACCTAGATCTTTGACTTATTCAAAGAACTAATGAACAATACGTTTAAAAGGACGAAAGCATTCAACCTATAATTTTTCAAATTAGTTTGTATATTGATCTATATAATGCAACACGCTGAAGGTTTTCTTGTTTAACGGTTTATTAATTCACGATTTATACATGGCAATTGTCACACGAACTCTAGTGTAAAACTTTGAATATTGTTTCCAACTCCCAGTTGTGCCTGTCAGTACTGAATATGTAGAATTCTGTACGGGTAAATAAAGTCGATCATATCGAAATGAGCAAAAAGCCACTTCTCCACTATTCCTCGCTTCCACTGTGCACTGGATCAGCTTTGAATTTGAATCCCCAGAATGCAATTAACTTTAATTATTATTTCTTTGTTATAAAATGAAATTACAATAAACTAAACACAAGCTATAAATATTTCCACTGTGAATTCGATTTTAAAAATTTGTTTATTAAAACATTTAATTTGCAATATTAATTTTTTTTATTATACATAATAATGCACATTGCTTATAAACTCAGTTTGTACCGATATATTTAAAAATTTTACATATATATAATAATAATAATAATATTTATAGTAGAATTATGAAACAGGTAAATAGTCTCGATATTTATACGGGAATTTCTCCCTACGTCTAAACACACTTAACGTCACGTAACGGACTTAAAGCGACGTAAAACACTAATATTTTAACTGTTAAACACGCTCGCTACATACTTTCTAATTGTTTTTTAGTGTGGAAAAAAGAGAGATTGTATTCTGTATACACGCACATGTATATGTATTTATGTATATAATCCTAAACACAAAACGTTTAGCGGAGTAGTTCTCGTGTAAAACTCAAAAGTCACTACAAAATTTTGCAATTAGAAAAGAAATCACACTCCATTCCGCAGAAAAGTCTCTTCGGATTAAAAAAAATCCTATTTTGAATAAAAAGAGACTTTTCGTACGGCCGAGAAACTAAACGGCGGTCCAAGCTCGACTCCGAGCAATTATTGGATAAATTTTATGTAAATTGTAATTGTTATTTTACCAGTTACTAAATGACATGTGGGTCTTTTTATTGCCTAATTTAGTCTCTATCTGGAAACTAGAGAATAAACTTGAGAATGTTGCTTAAATTACTAAATAATGGAAAACAAATTCGTTCTAAGAGTAGAGATAACAAATAAACATACACACCTATATAAGAATATTCAATTTTACAATATTGTTCTCATAACGAACAAACAATTTTACTACACTTCAAAAAACGAAAAAAAGAATTTTGATTAACCAAAAAGAAGGAACCAGAAAAGTAACTTGCCCATGCCTCTTCCACTTTACTAAATTTTTTTTGTTTGAATCGGGTATTTAAAGTTTATATTTCTTCAAACAAATTCGGGAAAAGTGGGGGTTTGGATTATATATGTTTATGTATTTATATCGAAATGAAATATACGCTTATGCAGGAAACTTTGTTGTACAGTACATAATTGGTTTCTTCCGCAACTTCAATTCAGAGCAATATTGGACACCGAATTTATTCTTTTGCCAATGTAGAGACTGAAAAATAAAAAATTAATATATAAATTACAAGCTTATTAAAAATAAAATATTGAAAAAAATGAATTACATATTCTTAATTTGTTAAAGATTAAACATTTCAATAGAAACTTTCTTTAAATAGTGTAGAAATTAATGAATTATTTTACTTTTTAAAATTTTGAAGCTTCAAAATTGAGGAAAGAAAATTAATCAGATAGAACAGAGTTAACAATAAAAATAATAATCATCAAAAAGTTCTTTTATTTTTAGGAATAAATGTCCATTTCTGTAATTAAACATTGGTGATAAAATAGCATTTATTTTGAGAGACCTTGTATCATTTTAGGTTACTGTAATTATGTTAATTATCTGAGAATTAAGTAACATACACCACTCAAAAGAGTAACTGTCACAGTTATGTCTTCTCTTGTCTGTATTCAAACATTTTTACCTATTACCTCTAGGAAATGCCATAAACAAAAATGGCAACTCTGTAACAGAGGAGGAGTCACGTTTTCTGCAATTCACAAAGTCGGACTCAATCATTATTGAGTAACACGAGTTAATCAATGATAACGGGTGCTCTCGGCAATGATCCCAAATGCAAACTAAAAGCAACGTAACATTTATAGAATATCCTGTACTATGTTCACATTTTCTGTACACAATTGAATCAATGAAGTGCTAATCAGCTGCTCTGAAGAGACAAATTTGAATTAAATTGTCATATATTTGCCAATGATTGGGTCTATTATTCCATCACCTGAGAATTGTGGCTACTGCAGGAAGGGTGCCAATGAATTTGCTGTAACAAGCATAAGAAGAATCTGAGTATTGGTTAAATGCATGCTGTGTGACACCAGGTGCACAAATTGGAAAACTAACGGGCAAATATGAAACTGACAGTTTTCCAATGTTTAAATCTTCAACTCAAGTTGCTGAGAAAAATTTATTTAAACATAACTAATGTTTTCGGCATATTTGATAGACCATCCTCAGGTTAATTAAAAATAAAATTATTTTTTCTCAGTAACATGAGGATAGCGTATCAAATAGGCTGAAAACGTTAGTTATGTTTAAATAAATTTTTCTCAGCAACTTAAAGTGTAGTTGAGTTGTCTATTATTTGCTGAGTGAGTTGTGGTAATTGTTTTAATCTTCATTACAATGTTCTCAGATAATTAACATAATTACAACAATTTAAAAATGGTAGTATTCTTTTGGAAGGCCCTTAATAAGCTATATGAAGTGGAAAAATGCTAGATTATTTTTGCAAAATTCTCTGACCAACTTCATCCATAAAAATTTTACAATTATTTCTTCCAAAATCTATATACATATTTATGAAGTGTTAATCTATATCACTGATCTTTTATGAAATAAAATAATTTTTAAAAATATTTTTCAATGAAATTCAAAAAAGTTCCCCATTACTGAAAAATTATGTACACACTCATGTATGACACTAAATATATGATGAAATATATGCTCTTTTGGCATTACATTTATTTACTTGAACTGAATACATGCAAGTAATTCCAACATTTCAAAATGTCAAAAGTACTTGAATGTATTCAATTCATCAAGTGAATAAATTTGACTTCAAAAGAAAGTATATTTCACCCGTAAAGTTTCACAGAGTTTAATTTTTTACATCAATACCAATAGTGCATAACTGACTCACCCTCAGTTATAAAATTAATTTTATAACATTTTAATAAACTATTTACTTAAAACATTTATGAATGCAAATGAGAATCTGAGTGTGCTTAAATGTGTAGGTGTGTGAACACAATCTTTTAGCAAATCCTCTTAATTCTTTACTTAAACATTTGCCAAAATACAAATAATCAAGCCTGTTTTTGTTAGAAAAATTTGTGATAATGTCAGTTTTTCAGTGAGAATTAACAATAATATAACTTCATCTCTTAGATCAATAAAATTTTTCAGATATTTACCCAAATCCTGCTCCAAGAAGTAGAGAAAGCAAATTGGTGAGGAAGAGAATTGAAAGTACTTCGGAAGAAAACAGTCCCTGTTTCACTGCCTTCGAATTACGCAGACTCAAGGTTGTTCTTTGTGGATGTTTAAATTTCCAAATCCTTCAAAAAATTCAAACATTTACTTATAAAGTAACTTATAGGTAATACATAAAATTATATTTTTATTTTAATATTTAGATAACAAGAATTGTCTTATGGATCATATTCAGTGCAAGTGAATTATCTGTATAGTACTTCCACCGGGAAGAAAAACATACATTACTTACTAGCGTAATTTTTAGTATAAGTTTCTCCCACTTTGTAAAAGTAAAGTGGCATAAAGCAAGCTTTAGTAAAGTTTTTGCTAACCAGAAAAAACCCAAAGTGGATTTTAACTTTTATTAAAAAAAAAAAACAAATATCAAACATAGTGCTTAGCATCCATCTTTCAGCAAACTGTTTTAAAGACATTGTACACCCCAAGCAGCAAGATGTCTCCAAGCTCCTTCCCAGGGCGCTACATTCGGCATTAAGCCACCATAGCTTTAAACTATATCTGTTGTCATCTGTGATTCATGTTGATTTATTATGGGCATCTGTTTGCAAGACTAAAATGATGAAATGAAAAATCTATTCTTAAGTATATTCAATGGTGTACAAAGCATGGCATTCTGTTAAGTTACAGTACCTTACTTAAGATAAAATCAGCCAATCTTCTTGACAAGCTGAAACAATGGACAATAGTGACAAAAGCATTGAAAAGTGGAATTTAAAGGTAGTCATGAAGAATTTGATTGGTTCTTGAAAGTAGGGTAGTTTGATACCTTATGTGATACTTACTGGAGATGGAAAGAATACTTCTAATGTAAAACTTTATATACTCATTTCTGATGTAGTTTCACAACTATATATACTTATATTTCTACTATACATAGGCATATTATTCCCGCTTTTACTATAGGTTAGTATTATTTTAGGTTTTATGTTAATTGATGTAATTTATTAAGTTATTTTTGACTCTGGAAACACTCAAATTGTACCATATAAATTATAGGCAGTAGATCCTTTTCTTTACACCATTTCTACTTACAAAAAGTTTCATAAGGCTATTCTACTTCCGGACAGTGCGAAAAACATGTATTGTTATATACTGCATTTCTTGGTCTAACTCCACTTTTGGCATGGACTAGAGCAGAAAAAACTGTTTTAGATTTCATCAGCTTTGTGTTGGGAACAATTAACTTGAAAGTTGAATATGTTTAACTATAGCTTGTAATAAGCATATTACATTTTCAGACTAATTGGACAGTATTTCAACAGACTAACTTTGTAAAACATCTTATTAATAATGCTCATTTAAGTTTCATGATATTTCCAAATTATAAGAGTAAGGCATATTCTATATTGTTTGAAAGATTTTTATATTTAGTTTAAATTGTTTTGTAAGGCAGCAGTATATATGGGCTATACAATCTGTCTGAAGTTTTTGTCTGTTATCCAGAATAATGTAGTCTTATGGTCACATTCACAACAAAGAATCAAAAATTAGAGTTAGCAGTTAAGTGTTCATGTACCAAATGTGAAGTGAATGATAACTGATTAACTTCTAACTCTTGATCCTTGATTATTAATGGCTTTATTCACAATCATTAAAAATACTTATTTAAATTTATTTACGAATTTCAAAATACAGATAAAAGTCGTAAGATAATTTCTTTTATTAATTTTAATATTTTAATGTGAATTTTTTATTATTGACTTATTCCAAAACAACTGTCTTCTTTTAATTATTTTTTTACTTCAGAACTGGATGCATAGGTAGACACTGGGAATCTAACATCACTCTTTATTCAGTACGCATTTCGGGCATACACCCCTCTTCTGTCAGCTTTCCCTTTAAGATATTTAGAAAAGAGATGCTAATTAATAAACATCCTTTTTTTAAAATACATATATTTACAGTTAAAATTTCCCATTTTAACTGTAAATAGCCATTTTAACTGTGGGTAGCCCTGACATAGGACGAAGTCGCACCTCTTTTTGATAGGCAACAGTTTGGTGAGAATTGCCCACTGGTCAGTGGATAGCTTGTTTATGTTTTCCTGGAAAGTCTATGTTGTCTATCCTGGAAAGTCAGGATTCTTTTGTCAGGTCGAGTGGAGGAGGTGAGAGGGGTCGTCGGTAAGACGTTGGCGATACTCGAATTAAAAACACCAGTTAACAACAAAACAAGAATTTATTGGACATAACTTAGATAATCTAGCTACATTGAACTTATCTCAAGTTTACATGCGGAAGTGGAGGAAAGTGTGCCGAGAGAGAGTTTACAATCTTTGCTGTCATACCTCTAGGATTTGAGTACTGATGGACATGATGGAGTTGGATGTCTTTTCCTTTGTACACACGTATGTCGGGCGGCGATGATGGATGGGCTTGACGGGCGGCAATCACGAAAGGTGACGGTGGACGATTAAGGACGAGGGCAGGCGATGTTGGATTACTCTCACGTCTGGAGGTGATGGACCCGAACGCTGACAGCGATGTCAGACCCCCTCTTCTGTCGTTACCCCTCTTTTATATTACACGTCATGTTATCAGTGTTTGCCAATCGCTGATTTTTTTGATAAGTTCCCCGTGATTCATTTTCGTGTTTCTGAGAGATAGGAAATGACTCCAGGCGAAGGAAATGGGAACATCCTCCTTCGAAAAATTTCGGAAATGGGAAAATGGAGCGTTTCTTTGTTTAAATAAATGTTCTAAAATTTTAATGTTGTCGATTAATTTTATTTTATTAGGTCCGACCCTCATAATTAGCATCTCTTTTCTACATGTCTTAAAGGAAAAACTGACAGAAGAGGGTGTATGCCCAAATCATGTCAGGAAAATCTTACACATATCAATGTATTAGTTTTTCCTGAATAAAGAGTGATATTAAAAATTCCCAGTGTCTACCTATGCACCCAGTTGTGAAGTAAACAATAATGAATATTTTAGTAACTCCTCATTTCTACATATCAATTCATATTTCAGACATATTTCTATTTTTCATTTAGACATATCTTCTATTAAAATTCAGAAAACCAGTTCAACTCTAGTATTGTGCCCATACAAATCATACTTCATTCCTTTGTCCATGTAGTCATTGCTTTTTCTGTACATTTTCCTTTTTTTTTTGTTGTATAAAATATATATCATTTCATATCAGCTTTAAAAATAGTGCTCACCTAAATATCTTTTCTATTACTCAAATCTATCCCCTTATCTATTTTGATCCATCTCCAAAACAATTTCCATTAGTTATCCTTTACAAATATTCCTCTGCTATTGTTCTATTGCTGTCAAAAAACTTTTCAAATATTGATTCAAATTGTGACAAATTATTTTCAGTTAGTTCAACTAACATATGAAGTTGCAAAATGATCTACTGGATCTACTCATTGGCCTATTTTAAGGCAAGTAAATAAGTAAATACAAAATCAATTTCGCTACAGATAGATAGTTACACCACCATCATATGATAAATTTTTAATAATCAGAACATCCATCTACCACTATCCAAATAATATAGTTAAGGTTAGTAAATAAGTAAATTGTACATATATCCCTCATATAACACAATAGTTATGTTCCGAAAAGAGTCGTGTTACACAAATCCATGCTACATGAAACAAAAGACTAATCCAAATCATGGAGATATGTTCCAGATATTATCAAAAGTATACTATTCTTTTTTGTTACTAACAGAAATATATTTATTAAAACAATTGATAATTAACTATTGATTGAAAATAAGTCATCAATTACAATTAAAAGTACTGTATTATGCATTAACATTCATTTTAGTTAAATAAAGGCATTTTCTTTTTACAAAGTATCATCGTCATCTCAGCTTTTTTTGTCAATCGTAATCAGAAATATCAGCAACATTTTCATATTTTTTTATTTTTATCATAAAAATTTTTATGGATAACAAACTAAAAATATGTTATTAATTAATTGAAAATTTGTTCTAGCAAGTCACATTTGTTTAATTGAATACCGAGGGACTTTTACAGAACTTGTGTTCAAATACTGACTTTTTTGAGTACCAAGATACCAGTGTATTTCATTTGTCATTTAGACAAATGAAGTAACTCTTTAAATATGAGATTGATCAAAATTTCCTCAATCCATTTGAGACAAAAGTCAGCCAAAGGCAAAGTAGTCTTTGCCTTTGTCCAGTTTTGCCTTACAAATACATTTTGTTTTGGTTACTTCCTTCCATATGGCTAAGTTCACTTTCATTTAAGGGATAAAAGTGAATATTATAAGAGTTTTGTTTACCAAAAGTTTTATTAGTTTTGTATATTTAACTTTAATATAGATTAGATGCTATATTATTAAATTTATTATTTCTTTTTTAAGTATGAATTAGTTTGCTATTTAGAAATGACTGATCCCCACCAAATAATTTTATTTCAAATAAAAAGCACAAAATAAAAGTGTTTTTAAAATTATAAAACAGCAAATATAATTTGAAATATAATAATTTAAAAATAACTGCACAAATAGCAGCAGCAAGACAATTGTGATTCTTCCTGTACAACATTCTCCCACCTAAAACAAATTTAAATGCTTCCACTACTACAAAGAAAAACGACAAATTCCCCATACTAAAGCCTACCCAGAGTGTAAAAACAATTTTGTATCCAGTACTTGATTGCTTGCTGTTCTCTCAATTAGTTGTATGTCCTTCGAAACTTAGCATAAAGTTGCTTTTGAAAACAAATCACACAGGAACACTCCTTTTGATGAAAAAAATATTTATTTTCTATAATTTAGGATGGCTATGCATTTAGGGCTCTATGCCCCTCTTCAGTCTTTATCTATTAGGTATATAGATAAAAACTAAATTTAATTATAGTGACATCTGGAATAACTAATTATTAAAATCATAGGTAAAATAAGGACTGAAGAAGGGCACAGAACCTGAAATGCATATCCATTCTAAATTATAGAAAAGAAATCTACTTTTTTCATGAAAATGAGTGTTCCTGTGCGATTTGTTCTCAATAGTAACTTTATGTTAAGTTCCAAAAGGACATAGAAAGAAAAATTTCAGAGTTAACACTTTAAACACATAATCTGTTCCAGGAAAACACAAACGACCTTAATCCATTCCAGGAAAAATCAGTCAAAAGAAAAGTTGTTTGACCAATTTTGCAATGCAAATTTCCCTTGTAGCCTGAGGGGTAAAAACAATTTCATCTCCACATACATAGAAAAGTAAAATATTTTCAGAGCTTAGAGTCAAAGACTGATGGATAACCTAGTTGATCATATTGCAATACAAATAAAATTGGATTGTTGTTTATGTTAAAAGATATGAAATAATGATCTGAAAAAGTATAACATTGCCAAAGTAAACAAAGCCTTCAAAACATATCAATAGTTAATTTTTAATCCCTGTAATGTAAGTTCAAGGATTTGAATGCTAGCAAAACTAAGTTTCAACACCTTACTTTTACTAATATTACACATGTTCAATTCAGTACTTGACTGTGATACTACAATTATAAAAGTGGATAAACATTATTAATAATTTAAAGAATGGTTGACTGAAATACAAGTCTTTCTTAATATTGCATTAAAAGAGACTAGAATTTAGTCTTTTTAGTATTATTATAAATCTGTTTTAAATTAGACAAACTACATAGATTTAAAAACAAAAATACTTTGAAAGTAAATAAGTATTATTAGTTGTAAATATTGCTTTTTGTTATTATAATAAATACATTAATATACAATCATTTGAATGTATAGCTAACATTTGTAATGATTTCACCCATTAGAAGTGAATAGTTTATTTTAAGTAACAACAATGACTTAATAATTTATGTAATTTGAAGTCAATGACATTAATTTCCCATCATATAAATTTCTGATTTTTTATATACAAATCCCAATAATTTAAATTTTTGTCACATACATTTCAATTTGAATATATGCAATTTTTAAATTACATATTTAACTTTTACAAATAAATAATTCATAGATTATATTAGTCACGTTGTTGTCATTATTGTATAATCTGCTAAGCAATTTGGTATTCTTTGGCCTTTCAAAGATGGGTCTTAATAGCCTAAAAAATATCAAACTACATTCATTTTTGATAAATTAGGAAATGTACTGATATACAGAGTGCATAGTAAAGTCCCTTTAACTGGAAAATTCTTGTAAACAGAGAGAGCTACAGCTGTGCAAGTGCGGTAACAGTATAGTAAAGTGACTATACCCGATCTAATGCAAACGACAGCAGCACTCCTAGTGGCGAAAATTGGAAGATAGACAGTGCAAAATGAAAACAGATAGAGCAAAATTTCCGATTAGAAACTTTTAGAGCATCAATTAATTAGTATGAAACGACATGTAGTTCACACGGATAAGATAAATTGTTGCCTGTATACCCAAAAATGTCCAAAAGTGATGCACGCCATTTTGTGTAAACGTTTGAAAAGAATAGCCATAGGTATGAAAAAATATGCACAATTTATTGCATAAAATACATATTTACGTCAATACAGTTTGATAACAATGGCGTGTATCATGAGCAATGGCAAACTTTTCGAACATACTCGACATTAACTTGATATCACTGTGTGACAGTTTGCCTTTCCATTGTTTTTTGTGTGATGTTATCAAACTGTATTGATGTAAGTACGTATTTTATGCAAAAAATTTTGCATATTTCTTTATACATACGGCTATTCCTTTCAAATGATTACACAAAATGGCATGCATCACTTTCAGACATTTTTAGGTATACAGGCGACAATTTATCTTATCCATGTGAACCACATTTCGTTTTGTACTAATTAATTGATGCTCTAAAAGTTTCTAATTGGAAAGTTTGCTCTATCTGTTTTCATTTTGCGCTGTCTATCTTCCAATTTTCACCACTAGGGGAGCTGCTGTCATTTGCTATTACCACCTCAAAAAACTGTCTTGAAGAACATTTATATTAAATGCAGTAAAATATAAATGTTTGTTTAATGATAGGTTTTACATCATTTTGTTTTAAATAATGTAAAACCTAAATAAATTGAAAAATATAGGGTCTACATTAATTAAACAAGCAGGGAAAACTTTCCAACCATATTAAAATCCAAGTTAAAATAATTTTAACTTGGATTTTAATATGGTTGGAAAGTTTTCCCAAATAATGTAAAATATAATGTTCACAAATAGAAATTTTGGTTGAAAATTAATTTTGATTAATATTTTAATTAATTTTTAACCAAAATTTATAATTGTGAACATTATTGTCTGAACATTGAACATTCCAGTTCTGTACTTTTCAAGACATTAATTATGAATAGTCACAAACTGTTATGTTTGCTTAACATTATAGAAAATATCAAAAAATTAAAAAAAAATCAAAATATAGAAGTATAGAAAGTATAAAAATTTAATTAATGATGATGATGATGATAAAATAATAAATAATACAATAAAAATATTTCGCAGAAACAGTTAAAACTTTCATTTTCTAATAATGACAATATAATAAGCAGACAGAAGCAATGTACAGCTAAATGTTGGCATAGTATTAAACAGTGAATGACACTTGAAAACTATATATAAAATTGAAAACATTTTTGACCTTGATTTAGGTCATTTTCAGCTAGTAAAATAAAAGGAACTCTGTTTATTCTACTAGCTGAAGATGATCTAAATCAGGATTAAAAATGTTTCAAATTAAACATATATTTTTAGTAACCTCAAATTTAGCAGATTTTGTTTTGTTACTACATTCTTATATGTGAATGTATTACACTTACTTGTGTGACAAGGTCACATATCCACTTCTTTTTATATTAAAATACTCTCTTAAATTATATATTAACCAAACAACTGGATTATTTAATTAAATTTATTAAATTATGACAGCAGCAAAAAATTTTACAATGAAAATAATACCAATTTAATTAAAGATTGCCTTGAAATAGTCTATAAATAATCCAACTGTCCGGTTCTCTTTTTCTGTTAATTATGTTTTACATTAAAATCATAACTATTACATTACACCTTACTTTGGAGGTGCTTGATCAGGTCTGCTACTCCAGTCCCAAATCCAATCAGTGCTAACATGCCTATCTCTATTTAATATGTCAACCTACAAAACATTAGTAAAAATTAGAAACATATATTACCAAAAAAAATTCTGAAAGAAAAATAAAGTATTTCTGATAATTTGAAATTCTATAAAAAAGTTTCTTCTAATATCTTAAAGACATTTTATGTAAAATAAGTTAATAAATTTAGAAATTATTTCATACAAAAAGTTTGTTATTGTGTATTAGTCAATTTATTTCTATAAATGGAAAATTAACTAACATGAGTAAGTAGATGAATTATCATATTCTTCAACTGACAAACACACTTAATACTTGAAAGCATATATGAACAATACAGTCTTTATAAAAAATATATTACACAGAAAATATCTGATCTAATCCAAATATTCGCAGAAATTTCTGTAAAGATAGCAATGCAGTTTAATACAAACAGCAGATTTGTATGATAACCAGTTAATGAACAAAGTATTTGGGCATTATAAACAAACATTACATTATATTAATAATTAAACTTAGGAGTTCCATTAATATCGAAAATGACATTTTATACTTTATCTAGTGTAATTTCTGTCAAATATGGTTCAGGACAAAACAATCATTTCATTCTTGTGAATACTCAAAGTTTCAGACTTTCTTGAGTCTAAGACTTTTTGAAACAATTATCCTTCTCAACGTACTTTAAAAATTTACCAATGTATATAAATAGCTACAGTAGACTCTCCCTTATTTAAACAAATGTGGCGGGAGTGATCTGGATATTAGAAAAATCCGGATAAGAGAATGTAAGAATTTTCAAATAAGACTGTAGCACACACGTCTATTGTATGTATAAAAAGTTTCTTTTGCTTTTTATGCTTACTTTTGACAATTACAATTAATTTTCAAATTATTCTGTTAAAGTTATTTGTTTTGTTGTTCTCGATTCACTGATGAGCTTCTAAATCATGCCAATGCCTCATTATTATCACTTCAGCAGTAGTTGATGCAATGTGGTCTTCTACAAACTTCAAAGCAATCTTAATAAAAAACAAATTAAAAAAATGTATACACTGCAGTATGGAAATGTAAGATTAGTGTACAATATTTTTGAACTGACTTTAATCAGTTCGGATAAGGGAGACTCCAGACAGGGAAGAGAATCAATCTACTGTACTCATTAATGTATATAAAAATTTATAATTTTCGACAATATTTATACAGTAGAACCTTGATTATCTGGATCTCTATTATCCAGATTGTTCAAAACAAACAAAAATTTTACGAATTTGCTGATTTGCACTTGGCGAATTACGACACTGTTTATGTACGTGATGGAATGCATAACTTTTTTTGTTTCAACAACGTCACACCCAGCACAGTGGTCGTAAACTCTTAAATACATTTTACGTCGTAATAAAAATATAACTTGACATACGTATTTATAAATAATTTATATTCAAATTACATCATTTCTATGACCAAGGGCAACGTAAGGCATGGACGACATATGCCTTGTGGTCTGAAGGGAGTCGCTCCTCGAAGGTTTATGCATTACTTAAAAGCCGCAAACGCGACGAAAAAAAATTTTACTTGTCATAAAACAATAAATAGTTTGTCAAATTTTTATTCATAAAAATACAGTTTCAACTGCTTTTTATTTTATAAAATCTGTCTTCTTGCGCCACCAGAGGGCCTTTTAAACAATAGGTAGTCTGTTAGCACTGGTCAGTAGTAGTCCAAATTCAATACGAACATTTGTTTCTTGAAAATTTGATCATGATTTAAGTACAGTATTTATTTTTAATATTACCGATATGTCATCGAAAAGAAAACATGTTGCATTATCATTAAAAGACAAATTAAAGTATTTGTTTCGATTATCCAAATTTTTCCTTATCCGAACTACCTTCATCCCCAATTAGTCCGGATAATTAAGGTTCTACTGTAATTGCAAAATCAATAATTTGTTTGTATTTTGTTTTACTTTGGTTATTACACAAGATTAATTATAATATAACAACAAATAAAAATTAACTGTTAATCACTAATCATATAAATAACAATGAAAATTTTATACACAAAAATTAAACATTTCTTACTTTATTTATAATAAAAGCATCATTGCAAGCAGGTTCATTCACTGGACTGTGAGGACTTTTAGGACTAAAAGAAAAAAGACATCTTGATGAAATTGTGAATAGAGGAAATTATTTTCATTCATTATTTTTCTTAATAATAATGATAAATAAGAAACTTTAATATTAATTAAAATTTTTCCATTTCTTGATATATATTAGATATACAATAATAGAATTAGTCATTAAATATTACTACTAATATTTAAAAATAAAAAAAAATTGTGTATAGTTAAGGATAGTGGAAACTAGGGTAGCATGAACAATAGGTTTAAGGTTACACTAGGTTCTACTATACTCTATAATCTAAAATATCTGATAATCCAGCAGTTCAAGAGACTATGGGAATTTGGTTTATTTTTTGATGGCTCAGCAAATAACAAGAGAGAATATTAAATTTGATATCAATAAATCAAATCATTATTGTAAATTCTCAATATATTAGATTGATACAGTGAAGCAATAGTCCTAAATATGCAGCTTAACAATACACAATGTCAAAGTCAGTAAAACTGAACCTTATATGAGATACAAGAGAGAAACCTATATTGTGATGAATACAAGGAATAATCATCATACTTCTAAATGGGGAAAAGACTAGTAGTTATAAACATAATGCCTGGCAAACATTCTGAACCACAACAGCTGTAGTCCGACATTCTCAAATATGGAAAATAAGAAAATTAGAAAAATAGAAGTTATTGTATGTTGTATCAAAAATCTACAAGAAAAACCAATACAAAATAAAAGTGATCTACATGATTCTGTAGAAAAAAAATCTTCAGTTTGTTTAAGAAAGTAAATGATTCTTGTTTTTCTAATATTTTGGTTTGCTTATTATAAACAAACACTCTTTCTATAAACAGTAAATTTCCGGAATTAAAGGTCACACATTGTCTCTCACATACACATCATTGTGTCATCATAATTCATCCAGCTTTTCAACAAATCAAGTTGATTCACTCATTTAATTTAGATTGTTTAATCTTCTAATATGTAGCTTGTCATTCATAAATATACAATTGCTAATTCTAAAACAAAAACTTCCTACTCAGAAATGAATCATTTCACTCATTGATGTATTTAAAAATTGTAATAATTTTCCAATAATAACTGATTGAAGTGAAGATTATTTCAAAATATAAATGTAAAGCTTCTAGATGATAAGAGGTGATTATGTAATTATCAGTCATTATATAAAACTCATAAATTAGTTAATCCTATAATCCTTTGTACACATTTCAAAAAAAGCTAATATAAATGTGGCAAATACTTTTAATAAATTCAAGAAAATTAAAAGTGGTTTGATTGAAGGGATAAAGCAATAACATTAGGGCAGTCGGAAAAGGGAGATGCCTCCAAGAAAACTTATCTACAGAAAACTGTCCCTTATTTAGGCATAAGAGATGTGAAAGAAACCTAGAAGAATCCAGGCGTTCCAGCCTATTGGTCAATCACAAACTTATCCACTTAGCCATTGATGGCAAGAATTAAAGCAAAAAATTTAAGATAAATTCTCCTAGGATTTACAATGTTTTTATGACACTACTCACAATTTATATATTCTATTTTATAGCATAAACTGATAAAACTTATTAAAATAACTGTTTTTAGTTGATTGTCAATGAATAAATAGTGTTAAGTACTGTACATAATTAAACACCATCATTTTTCTCTATTCACTTAAATGTCTATTAGATACAGATATCTACAATTATGAAACTCTACAGTTAATTGGGATATTTTAGATGTTCTTACTAATACTTTACAGCCTTTAATTTATTGTTAAAAATAATTATTATGTCTAAAATCTCTGAAAACAGCACTTTGGTTATAGAAGATAAACATTTCATATCAATAAATATGCAAGATGCATTTTTATTAACTATTACAAATTTATATTTCAGAAGTAAATATATAATAGAAGTAAATTTCATTCCAAACAAATGAAATGTTCAAAATTCCGATGCCCATATACTTAGACATATTTAAAATCTATTATCCTTATTTACAAGTAAAAAACAATATATCCCAACTTAGAGAATTCACTCATCCTTCTGTAATAAAAAAACTTTAAACTGCACTTAATTGTCATACTAAACAATTATGTTTTTGCAGTAAATTTTTTAAAAATGTTTGAAACCCAAGCACTTCCCAGTTGTGTTTGCTCAACTTCATGAACATAAATTATTCCGAAAACAAAAAAGTTCAGAATATTTAAAAGTAATTTCAAATGTTTTTACAATATTTGATGCGTTTAGAATAATTTATGCTCCTGAAGATGAGTCAACAAATTTGATTTTAATTAATTATATACAGCTTTACCCAACAGTTGGCTCTCATCAGTTTCAGTCTGATCTTACAAGCATATTCAGTTCATTAAAAAAATATTGAGGTACAAAACATACTGCACTTTCCTTGTTCTATTATTAACACATTAGCATCACCTCATATTCATTGTTACTATTTCATATTAAAAAATGCAGTCACTACACAGTTCCTAATAGGGATACTATACAAAAACTTATTTCATTGATTACAAAACATTCTTTTTATGGTCTCATTAAGCATTGGTTAGTAAGGTAATTGGTGTTTTTTAATGCCTAATATCATGCTAAATTCACAGACCAATAGATATATAGGCGTTTTGCATTGTTTGCGTCATTTGGGGTAATTGGTCGAAAATATTCGACGGGTTGGGAAATAGAATTTTTCACATAGGAAATAACAGAAGAAAGTTCTGAACTGTTTACCAGAACACATTAAATTAGAACAATGGAAAAATTCACTCAAAAATCATAAATTTTTTTCTTTTCAGTTTTTAGGAGTTAACTTCTAAACCCTAGAATTAACTGCCACCAATGTTAAAAAAAAAAAAAACATTAAAGAGAAAGGGGATCTGAACCATTTTTATATTCTGTTTGATGACACAGAATCAAGTTAAATATTCTTTTCTGGGATTCCAATAGAAAATTTCATTATATTACAGAGTATATCAATCATATTCAGAACAGAAATCAATTTTTGTACAGAAGTCAGATAATACTGTTCTCAATCGTACAGAAGTCGATTTTCACAGAGCCTTGGGATGCCACAAGTACTATTTGGGAGCGTCACAAGATTTGATTTATTTTAAAATCTAAATTACTGGATATCAAACATCATACATACACTAAAATATGCAGTAACCTATCACTTCCTCAATTTTCAACATTTTTTTGACCTAGACAAGCCAAAAGTTTTTCAGGAAAGAATCTGATTCTTAGATAAATGCTCAATTCTCCAAATTTTTTTCTATATAAACTAACTGAAGGATCCATTGTGTGAAGTTTACTAAAGACAGATTTTTATAATTTTATTAATTTCCAACTCAAGCACTAGAAGTGCAAAAGTTATCTAACAAAATCAACATAAACCAAGCAAGCAAATATATAATATAAATAAATGCTAAAAACTATCTATATTATTGTTAATCGGGTATGATCCCTAAACACTTCATATCTGGTCTCGATTTTCATCTATCTATCTATCTAACTCTGTTCTCGAGATTACATCAAGACAGACAAACAGACGGACGACAATAGCAATCTGTAAGTGTACGATTTGAAAATTGCAGCCTAATTAGTTTTCTAACAGTCGCAATTTAAATATCTTGTTATTTTACTAAATATCAATTTTATTTTCTATTAATAGATAGTTGCACACGTCTTTTTTATTCACAGTTACTTGCGAAATCTCTCGCTAGAAAGCGAAGTTGACATCGAATTATTTATAGAAAAATATTTTCAAACGGCCAACTCTCTTTTATTGCATTTATAATTAAAATAAAAATATTTCCAGCCATTTAAATATAAATAAAATGATTTACTACTACTACTATACTCGTGTAAAACAAAATTAAACGTAAAAACAGTAAACATTTATACCAGTTTTTATTTATTTATTAGTGACTGCTGTAAAAAAAAATAACAATAATAAAGGTACGAATTATCTTTTGAATTTCGGCAATTTTAAAAATAAGTTTTAGCAGCTTATATTAATATAATTACGCAGATGGAATCGATAGCAACGAGCAGAAGGGCAAAAAGACCGGAGTGTCAATAACAATTATCATTCCTTCTGCTGATATAAACACGATCTTGCAGAACGACGTGCATTGTAAACTGACCTAGAATTGGCTGATGCGTATCCTACGTCATAAGTAAACATTTGGGTCGAGGAATCGACTTAAATTTCTACTGAAAGGCGTTTTGTTGTCAAACAGGAAATAAAAAACTGGCTCGAACGATGTTAATGAAAAGGAAATTTATTTTTAAATTCAAATTTATTTCGTGATAACGATAATTGATTTTTAAAGGTCATTTAATACTTATTTATAGTATTTTGTGCTTGTTTGTTTTGCAGTTTTTCTGCTACTTGTAGTTGAATATTGGAAACGATCCAGCCCAATGTTCATTATTATTAAAGGGCTAAAATATACTTTAAAACTATTGCAAGCAGTCGATTAAAATTAATTACGCTTGACCTGTGTACTGTGGAGCGTATCGCGCGCGCACAAACAAAACGGGAAGAGCACGAGTTTATTCATAAATATTTTTTACTTACACACTTATTGATTAGCAATTTAACACAAGTTACGAATAACAAATCTTAGCTGCAAACGTTAAATAATTATATTTTAAAAATCCAACAACGAGTTGCATAACTTTCTCGGCTATTATGAGATCTCATTTAGAATTTAACTTTTGTCATTTTAATTACAATATAACTTAATAAAATTGTGTGGCACCATCTGTTATAAAAACTTTACCATTTTATAATTATTAAAAATATAAAAAGCTTAATTTTGAGGGCAGAGGTGAGTTTTATAAACAAAAAAAAAAAAACTATAAATGTTAATAGAGAGTAAAATCATCATTACATCTGACTCTACCGGAGATACACACGACCCTCTTTATCTCCCCACCCCCTTGACTTATAACCACCAAAATTTAATAGTATAGATGCCCCTCATATACAAGCCACCGTGCCACATTTCATTACTTAATCTTTACCCTATTTTGAGATATTAAACGAAACAGACACCAACACACACGTGAAACTTTTTCTTTATTTTTGCTTTTTTGGATTCAGGTGGTCTAAAAATGTGGGTCAAATTTGACACGATTCCCATACAATCACTTGTTATGTATACATAACAGCTGGGAAATTAAAACGCCATGAATGAATTATAATTACCTATCTCTATATGAAGAAATTGCACTTCCAACGGCAGAAGAATGATTGCTTTCACGTTGAGCTTCTAACAATAATTTCTCTACGCTGCCATTGTACATGGATCCCACAAAAGAAACCGGGGTGTTTCTCGAATTCGACTGTGCTTCTTCTCCGCTTCCATAATTGACTTCTATCCAAGAATCTAAAACAAAATTTAAAATTATTCAATATTAATATAATTTATAAATTAAAATTTATACTTTTATCCCATTTGCAACTGTATTACTTCTTTTAGTCAAGTCAGGAGAGTTCTCTCATTCTTATATAACCTCTGAATATAATTTTAAAATGAAAATATAGCAATAGCTACTTCTATCATATTACAGCAATTCTGTATGGCTATGTATCAGAGAAAAAAACCAATTTAATGAGCTTGCCATTAAAGAAGATATATTTATAAAGATCATATTTACCCTCATAACTATATAGTTCATTCTTAGCAATCTAATTGGAACGTGTAAGGCCCGAACTATATAATTATGCTTATCTACAACTTAGAAGAAAAATTTGCAGAGCCTCCGAACAAATGACTATTAGTAATGACTGCAGTCGTGAGATCCAAAAACTGAAAAATAACAATTGAGATAAAGATGTAAATAGGACAATGATCTGTGCTTTGAATAAGGCTGATATAGCAGAGATAATTCTGATAAAAAAAAATTAAATGCCATACAAATGCTAACTGATATTATTTTATGTAGTTTAAATTGAACATAAAATTCATCAACAATTTCAATTTAATTCAACAATTTTATAATACATGTGTAAAAAAATTTACAAATCATCCCACAAATGTTAACATTTTTGTGTCATCAGCTGGATAAGAAAAATTAAAAACAAAACAATATTAGGCAGAATAAAAGTATTTTAAAGTTTTGTTTTTCAACAAATTAACATATAATTTTTGAAATTTCTACACAAAAAATTTGTCAAATTAAAACACAAATGACAAGGAGACTTTCATTTGTTTGATGTTTATGGATATTTTTGAAGTAATTTTTTAAAAATTACAAAAAACAAAAAAACACTAAATGAAATGATAAAGTAACCATATCAATTTTCACAGCTTTTAGAAAGTTACAAGCTGCAACAACTAATGTGACAAACATTAGTCCTAGTAGCAGCTATTAACTGGCCCACTAGAACCATAGTTTAACATATTAATTTGTTTATTTTAAGAACGAAAGCGTAAGAAAGCATGACTACATTCTTCTGATTATTCTTATCAGAATAATGCCCGAGAGCAGGGTGTAAGTCAATAACACATTAAAATCAATATATATTAACTAAGCAAAGTTGAATTTAAAATTTTATTATTAGTATTATATAATTTTTAATTTGAAAAAGTTGTTGTAACTCTAACTTATGTAAAAGTGTTAAATTGTTATTTGCATGGATTATAATAATAATCCAGTTACTGAAACTGAATACAATCAACTTTTTTTACATATGAAATTACTGAATATTTGAAACCTTCTGTAAAAGAATATTTCAGAAATCACAAGGCATATGATTAGATTACAGCTATATGCCAGAAACCACACTACAAATAAAAATAATCCCCTCGTATTACTGTAAAAAGCAATTTTAAATTATTATTCCTTTTATTTTAATACATTAGAATTGATGTTAAAATCATAAAATAATTAAAAACAGAATATTTGAGATTAAAATTAGCCTATAAAAATGAAATTAAACACGATGAAAATACTGGCAGAAAAGGTCAGTCAGAGGCACTCAAACTTAATTTCATGTCATGAGTTAATTGGTAATGCATAACTGCATAGTAAACAGAATTTGCCTTGCCAATAGAATAATGAAAATATTTGAATAATTAATAATACATGTTTTAAAAAGAATAAACAAACAATTATTTTTATTCGTGTGCCTTCAATTACTATTCTCCTAGAATTAATTATTTTGAGTAGCATTAAGAAATGGATATTAGGAAAAAATTCATGGAACAATACGGTCGTAATGTGCGGCATTTTATTTTCCCCAACTCTCTTTTATTGCATTTATAATTAAAATAAAAATATTTCCAGCCATTTAAATATAAATAAAATGATTTACTACTACTACTATACTCGTGTAANATACATGTTTTAAAAAGAATAAACAAACAATTATTTTTATTCGTGTGCCTTCAATTACTATTCTCCTAGAATTAATTATTTTGAGTAGCATTAAGAAATGGATATTAGGAAAAAATTCATGGAACAATACGGTCGTAATGTGCGGCATTTTATTTTCCTTGAATCATTACAAAGCGCACACAAAAATTTTTAATTTAATTCAGAAAAATGCCTTTTCTTGACTAACGCTCACATTTTTTATCTGAATTTCAAGTCAGCCGCTGGGTACTGGATGAGATCAGATATCATCTGGCAATTCCAACAGCAATCTGGAAATTGAAATAAAATCTCTGACCAGACTACCATTAAGTTCCTTGCTGCTTAACTAGTGATCTGATGAGAACTGATGTGTTAAATCAAGGCTAGCTTTTGCAAGTGAAATCAACTATAGGAGGCAGGGTAGTTCGATCTTAACAATATGACAATGAAAGTATCATTGTTGCATTTAACATTATAAATATATACACACCCAATTATAATAAATAGCTCTTTCTTACATCATAGTTGATACAAGCCATTTAATTTTGTGTGGACTCCAACACAAAACAGATATGCCAGAGTTAAAGGTCTGTTTACAGACTCTTTATTAAAAACTGTCCACTTGTGATTCTTAATGTAATAATTCACTTTATAAAAATATTAGAGAAATTTACCAGTAAATAAAAGGAAGTATACTTGTTTGGTTTTAATATTAGAATTACTGTAATTCATTTGCAAATTATGTCTAAAAAAAATTTAGAAATTTCCTTCCTAAATATTTAATGAAATTACATAGTAAAAGTAATAAACACAACAAATTTTGTTTAGTGTTGTTAAGTTAGGCAACAGCATCAAAACAATAACACTTTTATATAAAAAAATGTCATTAAAATTTGTCAAAGAAATTTCTGTAAGCTCTACACTGTTTTACTAATATTAAAACAGATGGCCAGATGGCCCAGGAGCTAGGGTGGCAGCCTACCAGTCTGCGGAACTTGAGATTGAATCCAGATAAGTCAAAAAAATCCCAGAAATTTTTCAAGGGATAATTCATCCAGATACGTCAGGCCCATCCCTCACCACCAAGCAGCCCCAGGGTCTGGCCAAGTTCATGATGGGCTAGCTAAAAGATCCTCTTAGTGTCCTTGGGCAAAAACTTTTAAAAAATTAACTATTATAACAACAAAATTTTTAGATAATGACAACTGCATTTATTAATAAGTATTTGAACTCACAGTTTAAACTGCAGTATTAAGCAAAAATAAAAGCAGCTCTTTGGTGTTCTATTATCATTGGAGTCCCTTTGTAAATATAAATATTTAATCTACTGAACAAAGATACAAATTAAAGGAAGGCAAATGATATCAAACCATCTGTTATAAAGTGATATTTAAGTAATATTTTACCATTGTATTGGTACAATACTTTTTAAAATATAATTTTATCTGTATCAATTATCATGTTCTGATATAATAAATACAGATAATGCATTTACCTGGCAATACATAATCAGCCATACAAAAATGAAAAGAGCAAACAGCAGTATTTTTTTCTTTGCAAATTTTTAAAACATGTAACCCAATGTAACTTGGTATATTTTGGAACATAATACAACAAAATACTTAATTGGCAATAAAAGAAAAACAAGCAATCATTGTTACAGTATTAATGATAAGTTACTTTTTACAGTTCTTCGAAAAGTCATGCTAATCCAATGAGAAAGACAAATGAAACAAGGTAAATGCAGATAACAGTAACCATTTGCATGCTGTAATACTATAATTAGTTTTCTAAAATGACACTAGAATGCAAGTCATTCGTTTTCAATTGTGAATAAGACAAAGCCAAATCAATTAAAAGCAGTGATCCTGCTGAAAGGGAGGAATTAATTATTTTGGAGAAAGATTATTATTTACCTGTTACAATAATATAGAATGAGATAAGCTTAATATTTTGTAAGTTCTACATTCAATTACATATAATCAAATTTACAAATTTTTATTTACGGTACAGTAATAACTTAAGTAATGAATATATATATATATCCTTGGTAGCCCTACCAATGTGGTATGTAAATAATAGATAACTACTTACAACTGGACCAAAGTTCAAAACAGGACTTAAATTTAAGGCACGAGTATGTGGTTCACCATTAAAAATAAAATATTTTAATTTTCTGCATGTATTAATTATTCAATAAGTTAAACCATGATTTTCACTCCTCATTTGCAATATCTGTAACTATAAATTTCTCCTAGAATCAGAAAACTCACATCAAAATATCGTATTACTAAAACAACTGATTGGAATTCCAATTACCTGATATGAAATGGCATTGCAGAACCTTTATGTAGCTTGACAAATAAAAAGTTCATTGTTTAGAAAGTAGTCATTGTGACAGTGACTTCTTTAGTTTCTAAACTTAAAATTGCAACACAGCTGAAACAGGTATGTTATCTAATTTATGGGGGAAAAAAATTTAAATAAACTATTCAAACTCTTACTATTTCAGAGACATGACATTTTTTCCTACAATAATAAATGTAACATTATACAGTTAGAACAAAGGACTACAACTTAAGACTACAACTATTTTCTTTATTGCATGAATTAGTCATATGTGTATAAGTAGAATATGAATCAGAAACCAGCATTAACAGCAAGTTTTCATGTTTATCTTAGTCTGCAGGTTATTGGCAAGTTAATCCTTTTTATGTAATAATAAGGAATCAAGACACGGCTCCGTGTTTGGAACAACTAAATTATAACGGAATGGGAATCCGCAGTCGAGTCAAGTGACATTACACTTGGTAATTTACTTTATAATTATTTTGAAAACATAGGACTGTAAAAATATAATTTATACTATTATTTTAAATTTTCTGGCCATAGTTGTTTCATACATTTGGTAAGATGGCATTTTGGCAGGATAACAACTATGCCTCAATTTGTTACAAAGTTCAAATTACATTATTTACTAAAACTTACTTTCTGCAGAGGAATTTAGAAAGTTCAATTTAATTATTCATGTATTAAACTAACAATGATTTAAGTCAGATAAATAAAATGTATTTTTGAGAAAAGTTAAGCTGCATTAAGAGAGCCAATATCACGAATTTAAATAAAAATATTTCAAAAATTAAAAATAAATACTTTGTCTGCTATTGAAGATTGAAGTATATTATTGAAATACACAACTCAAATAATAAATATTTACTCAAACTCTTCAACATTTTAATATTAAATATTAAGATATAGCCAGACTTTCTATATTTTTCTTTCATATTCAAAATTATTTCTTAACATTTTAATTGAAAAATCTCTAAAAATGGATTTTAAAATACTTAAAAATGTCTTAAATAACTTCACATGAAGTAAATAAAACTATCGGATGCATAAAACGTTCGATGTAAACGTAAGATTAAAAAAAACCAGCACCAGCACTTATAAATTTATCAACACGTTAAAAATACAGGAATTCAGATGGTAAAATAACACACCTACCAGGCAAACTTTCGCACGAGTCACTGCTTTCCATAGTAGTTAATTACCTAGTTGACAATTACGGAATGAAAATACACTAGAAATATTAAATGCGCAAGCGGTTGTCAAAACGGAATACTGAGGAGATTATGAATAGTGGAGGCACGTGTTATGCTTTATACTCCAAACAGATAAAGTTCGCAGTACAGAGTAAAAGTGAATAACTTGTACGTGTTACTTTACTCGAACACCAACAACTTAAACAATCGTCTCTCCAAGGTCAAGTCAAACTATTCGTCAGCTTCGTATGTCACTTTCTTTCCTCCAAGAAAATATATTTTAATACACAAAGGCTTTCGTTACTGACGCAACATTCGCAGTCACAACTACAATAATTATTATGATAATATAATTATATACGGGAGTTTTAATTACAGCGTATAACCTCCATCGAAGTTTAATGTAAATAGATAGAATTGCCTACGTGTGATCTTTGCGTTGTAAACAACTGACGTCACCATCCACCTGACAATAGTCACCTCACATTGTTTGCATCATTTATCGCGTAAGACACACTGATAAATATCGTATAAACCAAAAAAACATTCGTTTATAATTGTTTTTAGCTTCGTAATTTATGTATTTTAATAATAAAATTAATTATATTTTTATTGTTTTAAATGAAAGTAAGGTATTTTTTCGTGTGAATTGCTTTAAACACAGTTAAAAGCCATTCTTGGGACGGTGAACTCCAATTTATTTTACATATTGATCGTCCTTGACCTTCAATGCCGTGACGTAGGGGAAAACCATCATTAAGACAGTTTATTAAACTTATAACATTTTCAGTTTATTACTCAATGCACCCACTGCAACATAATGTATTTAATTCAATATTTTTAAGATTATTTATGTATTTTAATCAAAAGTTTCATGGAATTTTGCCCAAATGCTTTTACTAAATATAATAAACTAACTATACCATTACTGTAATTCCAGTAATGTTACTAAATTTAATTCCTTCATAAAAATGTTATGACGGCAAATTTTGCTACTAAATTATTATTGTTTTTCCTTAAACTGTCTAAATTAAATTCTAAAAATAAATTATTCCAAAGAAAATACTGTAAAATATAAGGAATATAATTAGTTTTTCGACAATATCTACATAAGTGATAATTAATAAAATATAAATTCTGAATGGTTTCTACTGAAGGTTCAACAATTTGGCATTGATTCTATTATTTTTCTAATCATTTATTATTTATTTTCATTAAAAAAAAAAATAAAAAACTTCATGGCCAGATAAGTTTGATCGCGTGGTTACCGGTGATAAATGCTGCATAATCGAAAACGATACAGAAAAAAATTTAGCTTTTCTTCTGTTCATTAAACATATTAACAGTGTTTGATTGGCAGCAGTCCAATTTTTATAAAATGCCAATTAAAATACATTACAAATTCATAAAAGATTAATTATAACTAAAATATTATACACACTCACTCTAATTTAAAAGTCCTATCTTTTACAACTGTATTTATGTAAACATGAAATAAAATTCTAGCTTTTTTATAGTAGAATATAGATTGTGATTTCATGTACATTGTACCTAAATATTTTGTAAAAAAATAACTACGCATTATAAGATTTTAAGCATAAATTTTTTGCTTAAAGAATATTTTAATACTTAAATTCCTAAACTAATATACCTTATTTTAATTCAAATAAATTACTATAAAATGGAACAAAAGAACAACTGTACATAAAACTGGTTTTCCTTTAATACCTCTACATTTTCCTTATAATAACAGTAAAATGTATGAATTTTTTACAGTTTATTCTTTACAATTCTATGGATTTCTACAGTAAACACTGATAAAATCTATAGTAATTATCTATTTAAAACAATTTACTAAAAACATTCATTTTGCTATCATATTATTAATAATATTTGCAAACAAATTTCCAAAACAAAAATACCTTAAATACAAAATATTTTTCTTTGTTTACTATGTTTGTAAATTAAGGTTGTAAAGGAAGAAGGCTTTCAAAATATATTTATGTTCCAATATTTTTATTTTATTTAAGAAAACAAACTAATATAGAAACGTTGAGTATTTTATAAACAAAAGTATCCATATTATTATTTTTTATTCTTATTTAATGATGAGAAATTCTTTGATACTTTCATTATATTTTCTCATGTTCTATTGCTTCATAAAGAAAATGCTCATTTAGAATTCACTTAAACCATCAAAAATTTTTAATTAAATTAACCAGTCATCACCTAACTTAGTTTGTGTCACTTAGTACAATGCGGAAAATATTTCATTTCCGTTATCATTCGTTCATAATGGTTCAATAGTTCGTATGATATTGTAAACTGATTTCTAAACACATTTAATATAGTAGTATTTTAAATTACAATGCAATTTACTTTCATCTACTATTAATTGATGAAAATTGTGTTTAAAACTAGTATTTAATCTAAAAATATAATACAGACAGACATCCTACTTATTTTATCAGTTACTTTGATAAAGCAGAGAGACTATTACAAATATAAATATTTAATTAAAATAACATTTTTTTTAAAGTTTTAATCATCAACAAATTTTCATGCATATTAGAAAATAATACATCATCATTATTACTTTATTAATTTAAAAAATTAATAAAAACCTTCCATTACAGATGTGTGAAAAAAAATCAAACATAACCTATTCGTATATTTATGTGTCGAAATATTATTTGAATATAATAAATTATAAATATATCAATAAATATTTCAAATTTCTGTACTTTATACATTTTTATGTTAAATTATTGAGACCATTCTCAATAATTTAACGTGTTTAATGGCCCTTCAAGACTTTGCTATTTTTATAACTAAATAAATAACATTCTTTTGATAAAAAAAATGAACATGTTTACTTCTTCTCAGGATTATAAAGTAAATTTTACTGAAATGTTTATAAATTTTAAAAAGTGCTTATCCTAACGACAGCACACTTGAGATAAGAAACACAAAATAGAAAATTGAACTTTTTGTTACATTCTTATAATTAATCGTCAGTCGTGCTTCACAACAAGATAATTCTAAATTGTGTATCAATCTAATCAATTTTGAATAAAATTCTGATAAAGATTCTTTCTTTAGGAATAATTCTTCTAGGAATAATTACCAGTTGAAATTAACAAGAAATTTTCTAAAGATAGAAAATGTTACCTTTAAGTTAAATAGCTAAAAATAAATTTAATAATCAATTCTTAAAAGATTCAGAATATTAATTAATTATATTGTTTTCTTATGATGCTTCTATCACACATTTATAGGGATTAAGCCACAAATTTTTAGATTGTAGTTATTTGGCTAACTGTTCCTGAAAATTTGTAGCCAAACATCAGAAAGTTTAGCTAGATTGAGACTTAGTAAAAATGAAACAGCTTAGTTTTTGTTGCACTGCATTATATCTTAGATAACGTTTGAAATTTCACCAGATGTGCAAAGAAATAATTTCATACATTTTTATTTTTATAAACTTTATACATACAGTAGAGTCCTGCTAGTCTGAACTAATTAGGACTGAGCTCTGTTCGGATTTGCAGATTTTCGGATTAGCCGAATAATTGAAATAATGAAGCAAGCAGTAAAGCAGAGAATGATGATGAGCTAGATGATATTGCAGACCAACTTGTGTCGCACGCAGATGCGGCAGCAGCCCTTGACCTTGCTTTATGCTACTTTGAACAACATCCCAGCGCTTCATCCACAGATTGCATGTGTATGAGGGGTGGCAAAACAGCATCTTCTAGCCCACTTTCATTGTTATGTCAAAACAAACTAACAGACTGTTGTTTCTGAAAAATGACTTTTGTAAAAATATAGTGATTTACTAATTTATTAATTTTGTACAGTATTAATACAGTACTACAATAAAATACAATTTTTTTTGTGAAATTCCAAATGACTTTGTACCATTAATACCATTTAAATTTAACTGGAAAATACAGAAAATGTATATTTTGCGAGCTAAAAAATTTCCTCCCTGCCAAGCAATACATGTTCGGATTAGTGGTGTTTGGACAAGCGGGATTCTACTGTATATATAAATTTATAAAAATGTACAAACTTCATCAGGTCAGTACATCAATATCATTGTTCAAAATTTCTTTGTCCTGTGAACAGTAAGAAAGTCCTTTTTCCATGATCTCTATGATCATGAGATTTATAGCTGATCTATAATAGCTAAGATCTATAATCGAAGAATGCTGAGAATTCCTTGGAGGGCAAGAAGAACAAATGAAAATATCCTGGCAACTGCAAATCAGAAAAGAACCTTATTAGAAGTAGTAAGGGAAAAAAAGTGAGTTACTGGGGCATGTACTGTGACACCAAAGTCTCATAAAACAAGAGAAACACTATTGCACCAACTACTTCTGGGGCACGATCAGAGTCATGTTGCATGCTCCATTTAGTCTATTGCATGTTTAACAAGCAGCCAATTTCAAGGAGCTGTATCTTGTAAAAGGTTAGATGTAAACCATCAGTTTCTTTGATTTTTTTTTACTCCTGAGACATGATCTACAGCTCTGATAAGGTCCCAATCTCCTCATTCAGAGCTGTATTTGTGCCTCTAAAAACTTTTGTCATATTCGAGAAGTCTCCTGGCAAGTCTTGGGAAGTTCACAATCCTATATTATACTGTACATTAAAAGTGCTTGAAAAACATATTTTATCTATTTATAATTTCTGTTGTATTTAATTATACAAGGTTACAGCAAAAAACAGATGAACAAATATTCTGTCCAATTAAATATATCTTATTTACAGTACAAGTCATTTGTATGTTTAAAACCTTCTGAAATAATTAAATATCATTAAAATTAATGAACTTATAAGCTATGTATTAATTAATACATCTTCATTAAAAACATTATTACAATTTTTAAATTGTTTGCTAAATTGAGGCTTATTCTGCCCTTATTTACTTGACAACATGATCAATTTTTGTTATATTAAAAAATATTACAGCAATGGTTTTCAGCTGGGGGTGCCTTGGCACACTAGAGTGCTGCAACAATGCTTTTCACGGGTGCCGCAAAATATAGGGCAAAGCAGCACACATTATACAGTACATGTGTCGCTTGGCCCTATTCACACATGCATAAAACTCCTTACATGTATTACCAAAACTACAAAAAGCATAATAATTGTTTAAAATCTGAAATGATTGAATATAATTGGAATTTATGAACTTATACAGGGTGTTTCAAAAAGATGGGCAAAACTTTAAGAGGTAGAAGAACACACCAAAGCAAACATCTCTCATTATAGAATGCATGGCAAAGTGTCAAGGCACAAACACAGTAATGACTCACGACACAAAACACAGGAAAAAATTTTTTAATTATGGATAATTACAGAAATTGCTCAAAAGAGCAACTGCCAACCATAATGCATGCTTCAGAGCATC